CAGCCGGTTTAAGCCAAAGTGAAGTAACTCATATATATCTGAAATCATATGAGTTACACCTCGGCCTTCTAGGAGCTGCTAGCTGAGTGATTGGCGCGCTAGAAGCCTCCCCGAGAGTGCCTCCCCGACCGGCCCCGAGGAGCTGCTCGGAACTCCAACTTTAACCCTTCATAGCTCCAAAACGTACCTGCGGATTTCTTCCCTATTGCTCCTGCATGATCTGTGGGTCCACCCCACTCACATAACCAAGCCTCAAGGAATGGCGTCTAGGCGTTCAGAAATAGTTTCTTGTACACACCTATACACATCAGACGACTCAAGGCTAGATCGCACATATTTGCTCTCGGCTCGATCGGTGTCGAAACACCGCTCTGACAGCGCTCACGAGCTACACAGCCGGCTGGTTGTCGTACCGATGCTGATCCTCGCCGCGGCCGCCGCTGGCCTCCAGCTGCCCGTAACCGCAGCACGGCGCAGCTCCATTCTCTGCTGCGCGCCTTCCGACACGGCCACCGACGCGGAGGTGGACGATGGCAAATCCGCTGCGCTGGTGGCGGACCTACGTCTCAGCGCGGCGCGAGCGGAGCGCGGCTTTCGCGTCGACGGCGCACTCGAGGAGCTCCGCCAAAAGGTGGAGGCGGTCGAGGCTGCCAATCCTGAGCCGGAGCCGGTCGACTCGCCGCTGCTGTTGGGCGAGTGGGACCTCGAGTTCACCGACGCGTTCGACGTCCTCAGCCTCGGTCTCTCGCCCCTCGAGGTTGGACGCATCTCGCAAAACGTCCGCGCCGGCGCCTCTGCGGGCGAGCTGCAGGCCGAGAACATCGTCGAGCTGCTGCCGCCGCTCTCGTCGCTCGCGGCGGCCGCCTCGCTTCAGCTGCCTCGCGCCGCGACCGAGTACTGCGTCGGCGCCACCTGCCGTCGCCTTAGCGGACGCCGCGTCAGCCTGGTCTTTTCGAAGCTTCGCGTGCGGCCGTGGCTTCCCTTTGTGCCGTGGGGCTTGCCAGACGGAGTGAGGCTGGAGGCGGCTCTGCCTTCGGCGGCCGTTGACGCGCTCGAGAGCCTGACGAGCAGCGCAGTCTACCTGGAGACGACGTACCTGGACGAAGGGCTGCGTGTCGCGAGGGGGCCGGGCGGCGAGATCTACGTGCTCGCGCGCAGGAGATGACGCGCTAGGGCCGGCTGGCGCATGTCGGGCGCGCGGAACGCCTTTGGGGGGTCGTGCGGCCGTCGGCGCCCTGCGCGTAGTCTCCCTGATGGCGTGGTGGTCTGCCTCATTATTTTTTCTTTTTCCTATTGCGGGGACTTCTCGGCAACTTCTCGTCCGTGGGATATCAATATCACTTATCTCGATTAGTAAACCCGAGACACAGACACACACACACACACACACACACACACACACACACACACACACACACACTTCGCCAACCAATCGGCCACCACTGTCACCGCTTGCGCCATCGCCACCACCGCCCTTGCTGCCGCCGCCCTCACCGCCGTCATCCTCCTCGCTGCCGCCTTTGCGGCTGCCATCATCGCCCCCGCCACCGCCGGCGCCACCGTCGCCACCACCATCCTCCTCCTCCTGATCCGCCGCTCCTTCGGGGAGTTCCGCCGCCACCGCTGCGCCACTTACATCCAAGCTTTGGCGAGGGGCCGTGAGACTCGGCTCGTGCTCCATTGGCGCTCGGGCAATCTGCGCTGGAAGATGCAGTATCTCGGCTGGCTCACTAGCCGCCCAGCCGCTGCCGCCCTCGACGCTGCCACCGCCGCCGCCGCCTGCCGCCGCTCGCACCGCCCGCCCGCTTCCACCATCAAGGCATGTCGAGCGGCCGTCGACCACAACTTACATATTGCACCTACCACTATCCAAGCCTGTGTCCGCGGCTGGATCACACGCCGATCCGCGGCCGCCGCCACCACCGCCGCTGCTGCCCTCGTTGCCGCCCGCGACCACCCACATTACCTACCTGCCTCCGCCATCCAAGCTTCCGTTCGAGGCTGGCTGGTCCGCAGCTGCATTCTCCCCGCGAGCACTCTCGCCGACGCCCTCGCCGCCGCACGATTGTCCGGCGCCCTCAACGCTCATAGTGGCCCATCAGCCATTACCACCTCCCACCTCTACCTCGAGCCGCTGATCAGCAGGATCTCTTGGGTCTACTGCTTGCGCTGGTATACGCCGAGGACGCCGGGGACGCCCGCCTTTTGTGGCGCTCCGTACACGCTCATTGCCGACGCCCTCTCACTTCCCGAGCCTTACCCACAGAGCACGCACACAACAATGCCCACGAGTGCTCGGCAGAGGGGGCAACGGAAGCGGGCTCTGGCCAAGGCGGAGCAGCAATGGCGCTTCAGAGATCACGTGCGTCAGCAATTTGGCGTCATCTCCCACCTCGAGATATCTGGCTACCCTCTGTACCGCGATCATGACCCCATGTATGCCCACCGGCCCACCGGCCCCCGTGGGTTCTACCGGAGGTCCTCGCATTACGATCGCGCGCGTCTCAAGGCCCTAGGCCTAGACCGCCAATACACTTACGCCCCCCGCTTCCCCTCTGGCCTGCTCGAGTCTTTGCGCGCGAACCGCTCCTCTACCAAGGACGCGCCACCCACCGACGGCTCCCCCGAGGACACCTCCTCGGGTGATGACTCTCCGA